GCATTTCCAAGAGTATGTGACTCTTATCATTGGATAGATTGAAGATTGCCCAGCTTTTGGAAGCCACCAGCAACTATTTATCTATTTATTTATTATTTGTTCTATTTATACCCCACCCTCCCCGCCAAGGTGGGCTCAGGGCGGCTTCCATAAAATGCATATATAAATACAGTTAAAACATCCATAGATAGTCAATTATCCATTTTCTTAAAGTGCTGGAAGCAATTAAAGTGCAAAAGCAGAGAGATTCCTAGCTTAAACTATACCACTACTTAGGTGATAGTCCTGATGGTATTCTCACATCGGCTTGGTTTGACTGACTGATTTCTGCGGCAAGACAGGCTGAAGGTGGTAAAGCCAGTGCACAGGGTCACTCCTCGATGTTTATGTGGCTCCTAATTAAAATCCTGGTGGAAGAGCTCCGTCTTATAGGCCCTGTGGAACTATAAAAGATCCCACAGGGCCCTGATCTCTGGGAGCTCATTCCACCAGGCAGTGGTGAGAGACTGGAGAGCCATCATCTGGGTGGGACCCTTCTGCCTGCCTTAGATGCAGCAGGCTAGCATTGCTACCTTATAGGAATTACCCCTGTCTTGGGTATGAGAAAATTACAGGTAGCCCTTTAAAACAAAAAAGCACTCAAAATGCTGCTGAGACACAGTCTCGTAATCCTTCCAGTATTCTTGTGGCCATTCTCGGGGTTTGCTGTTTTATTTTTGGTTCTAACAGAAAGTGTTTTTAATTGTTATTCAAAGCCTGTCCTTGAATGACAAGGCCTGATCCAATGTCGCTTCTCTTGTGTTCTGTGTTGTCTTATGAAAAGCGGGATATAAATGTTTTAGATGAAGTAAGGCAATGTTACGGCCATAACGCAGGTGGAGATTGTGGTGAAACAGAGGCCTTTCAAATGTCATTAAGCATTTTCAGATGTCTCCTCCCTTTCTCTTGTGTTATTATAATAATTATAACTATTATTCTTCTACATCTGCACATCTATACGGAAGTTTAGTTTAAGGAGGGATCGCGTGGGCTCTTTGTCAGCCTCACCTCAGCCACGAACTCACTTGGGCGTGATCTTATCTTGCGGCTCCTCCCCAGCCTCCTCTGCAATAAGGAGATGATAACAGCGGTAGGGTTTTTGCAAGGATTTGCTAAGATAATGATACCTGTGAAACGTACTTCATGTGAAACTGCTTTATCATTGGCCTGTCTGTCTCAGTATTGTCAGTTCTGGCAGGCTTTGGTTCTTCAGGGCTTTAGCTGCAGAAAGGTCTTTCCCGGCACATGCTGCCTGAGATGCTTGAGACTGAACCTGGGACCTTGTGAATACAAAGCATGCCCCCTTGCCTAGAACAGGCAAGGTAGTAGCTACAGAAGTAGTTCTGTGTGACCAAAGAAGGTCTGGACTTGTTCACCATGAACACATGAAGCTGCCTTTTACTTGAGTCAGACCATCAGTCCGTCAATTGTCTACTCAGACTGGCGCTGGCTCTCCAGGGTCTTAGGCAGAGGTCTCTCACATCACCTAGTACCAGGTCCATTTAACTGGAGGTGCCAGGGATTGAACTTGTGAACTTCCGCATGCCGAGCAGATGCCTTGCCACTCCCATGAGGGAGTTGCTGTTTGAGATGTCCCTCTTTTAAAACTGAGAGGAGTCTCATAAGCAGTTTAGGATGTGGGACTGGGATCTGCCATTCAGAGGACGTCAGTCCCAAATCCCACTGGGCATGCCCAAGGGCATGGGTGCACCTTAAGTTGTTCTTTGAATCCTGCCATTACATACTACTGTACTGTCAGTATACACCCTGCTTTCTACAGCCCTCTGTTTAAAAAAAGGAAAAGAAAGACCTGTTCCTGCCAAATGGTATGTAACAAATCATAATAACCATCATGGAAGCAGTGTCAAAATCTATGAGCAAGGTAGACCCCTGCCCACCATTCTGTAGCCAGGGCTGCCTCCAAGGGCAGGTGGTGGGTGTTGAGAACCCTCACATCCTGGCCTCGATCCATTAATAGGCACTTGACTTGTGCTGTCTCTCTCTCACACATTATCCTCATTGTTTGGTGGAAAACCTCGAACCTTACTTGGAAGGAATGCTAGTTTAGTAAGTGACCTAGAGTTTAGTTACCTCTCTGCACCCATTATCCTTGGTTAAACAGGCAGATTTCCTTCATTTACTGTGTGCTCATGTGCAAAGGGCAGAGTCCAAGGGCACAACTAAATCAAAAGCTTGTAATCTCTGATCTAGCCCATCTCTGACTAAAGACAATTGTGGAAAGGAGGCATCAGGTTTTAACACCCTCTGCTACTGTCCCCTGAGTAGAGATCCTCCCTTTATCTAAGTTGCTATTAGTTCTGGGGGAGGGGAAAAAAGATAGGCTGCCTGTCTTTTTACCTGCTGCATAATCATAGGGATTACTGGGAGAAATCCTGCGGCCCTTTAGCTGCTTTTGGAAAGAAAATCAAAGGCATCATGTAATCCATGCACTGTTCTTAGTGTTTCATCTGTTGCACCCTAATTTACATGACGGAACACAGAACTAGGGGGTTGATTGAAGTACAAGAGTGTGATGAGAAGGTGTGAGTATCAGTTGTAGGAAGAAACAGAAGCAGCCAGCCCTGTCTCATTTCTGTGATTTGTTGCTGCTGTTTCCCCCCTTTGTGATTAGCAGTAAGTATACCCCATTGGTGATGGTTCCTCCTGCATCTAAACCTTCCTCCCCACTATATAGTTCATTTCCAAGAATGCCCTTAGGGGGGGTCATGGTGCAGTGACAGAGCAGGAGCTTTGCAAACCTCCCTCGCATCTGCATTTCAAAGCTGCCAGGTAGCCAGTCTTGGGAAATATCCTCCCCCCACCGCTGAGTGTCGGAGTGGGAGAACCCCGAGCTAGGTGGACCGTGCAGGTTATCTTAATGGGAAATGTTCAGATTGATGAACAATGAGCTGCTCCCTCCCTAAGCATTTAGGGAGTTGGCAATGCCCTAGGTGCTGTGCAGATCTTGAATACTTTTCTTTTACGCAAGTGGAGGAGTGGCTCTCTGACCGCAAGGAATCTCACTGTGGGTTGAGGTCCTTGCTCAGATGCTTTTTGCAGAGTGGAGTTAGACTTGCCAATGGAAATGAACAGGAGGAGGAGGAGGAGGAGATTGGATTTATAGCCCCGCCCTTCACTCGGAGTCTCAGAGCGGCTCACAAACTCCTTTCCCCTCCCCTCCCCACAACAGAAATCCTGTGAGGTAGGTGGGACTGAGAGAGCTCTTTCAAGAACTAATCTTTCAAGGACAGCTCTTGTCAGAACGATGGCTTGCCCAAGGTCATCCAGCAGCTGTGAGTGGAGGAGTGGGGAATCAGACCTAGTTCTCCCAGATTAGAGTCCGCACACTTAACCAAACCAAACTGAGAGGTGTGTGAGTGTGTGCTTAGCAAGAGGAAAGATTGTAAAGAAGGGTGACCATCAAAACGTGGGGGTTGGTTTAGCGGCCCTGGCTCCGACCTGGTGGAACTCTCTGTCAAATTCCACCAGGGCCCTGCGGGACTTAATGCAATCCCGCAGGGCCTGTAAGGCAGAGATGTTCTACTAAGCCTTTGGCTGAGAACAGCAATGGTTTCCATCGTGGCTGGCACCCTCCTCTTTCTCTCCATTGCTTCGCTTCAGCCCCCTCCTCGCAATACAGAACGGAGTGGGCTTAGGAAGGAAATTACAGACGCCATCTGGAGTTGCTAATTGATGTTTTTATTGATTTTAACATTGTTTTTAATTTGTTGTACGTCACCCAGAGCCCTGTGTATACAGGGATTGGGCGATTTATAAATCCAAAGTATAAATAAAAATAAATAATGGAATGAATAGGAAGTCCTCAGTTCAGACGTTCCGCACGTCTCTCTGTGCTTCTGTCTGTCTCAAGAATGACTAGCCTACAGCTACCTAGCTTGCACCCCACTAATATTCACTGTGCAAAAGTGATTCTAGTCCAATTACAGTCCACACATTTGCTGCTTCTATTTTTGTTTCTTTATGTCATGCAGTGCTGCTGCTGCTGCTTCCAACAATTGCCATGCGGCTACAGATTTCCCGGGTAAACACTCTGTTTCCCTCAGTGCTTCGTCAGGTCGCTTTATATTTGGAACCCATGCTCTATGTCTCCCACTCAGAATTAATCTTGTATTTTCTCAGTATCCGCTGGCTGGCTGCACAATGCACAATGGGGCATTCAGCACAGCATCAGTATCGTCAGAGAGACCCTGGGAGGTGTTTTCTCTGCTCAGTTCAATGGAACATCTTTTTAAAAAAGTGATAGTCTGTGTCTAGTTCCAAAGGATAGCTGCGTTATCCTGTTGAAGCAAAAACAGACTCTTAAGGCACCTTAAAAATAAAAGAGATTCGTGGTGGTATAGGCTTTTGTGGACTGTGGCATCTTCCCAACCCTGGTCTGCATCTCTATCACATTTGCATGGGAGAGTTCTGAGGGAACCGTAACTGGCCCAAGGTCACCCAGCAGGCTTCATGAAGAGGGAGACTCAAACCTGGTTCTCCAGATTAGAGTCCACCACTCTTAACTACTACACCACACTGGCTCTCTTGCCATTCTTCCAAGCTGGTGGGGTCTATTAGTCTCACAACAATCCTGTGGGGTAGGTTAAGCTGAGAGTGCCTGACAGGCTGTCCTATGGTCATTTCATGCTGAGCAGGTATTTGAACTCCAGGTCTTCCCTGTCCTCGTCTGATACTGTATGCATGTGTATCTGCCGACAGAGGATGCCCTTCATTCATCTGAAAAAGTGGGCTCTTGCCTATGAACGTTCATGCCAAATCTATTCATTTAAAGGGAGTCTTTTGGCACCTTTGAAGTTTCTTCCCTAGGCAAAGATCCATGTCATGGCTGCGCTGTGTTTCTTTTCTTATCAGTTCTTCTGGTCTTCCTTTCTTGCAGGTCATACTCTGAACTATGGAGGAGAGCAACCTGGAATGACGAGAAAGGCCTAGCCGCCCTCTCCTAGGAAGTAGTCATGTTGGAGGGATTGGTAGCCTGGGTTCTCAACAACTATCTAGGCAAATATGTCAGTAACCTGAACACGGACCAACTCTCAGTAGCTCTTCTGAAAGGTAACGTGTAAGAGCACCTGCAAGTTTGGTAAATGTGTTTCTTCAAGCCCATGAATCTTAACGCTATTTGCCACTTTACCTTTTTCTTCTGTTACTGTGTCTCTTCTGTCTAGGTGGGTGTCGGTTTGCAATGGATGGGTTCAGTAGGTCGTAAACCTGCATGGTTAAATAGTGCGGGTTTATGTTTAACCTGAGGCTCAGTGGCTAGAATGTTGGGGTTGTATGTAGGGGAAACTGGTTCAGTTCCTGTGTGCCCCCCCCCCCCACAATCATGGAGAACC